CTTGTTATGGTCTTTAAAAGAAAGGTCAGCTGACATAATTATTCCTAGGTCTTTTACGTGTTCCTTACGTTCTATTTGGTGACCCTCTTGAGTTTTGTATATAGTGTTCCTTTTGAGTTCTTCATTCTTTCCATACCTAAGCAGCTGGAACTTGTCACCATTGAACGTCATGTTGTTTTCCACTGCCCACTGGAAAACTCTGTTTATGTCTTCCTGTACTTTTTCAGTGTCCTCTACCGTACTGACTTTCATGCTTATTTTAGTGTCATCTGCAAATGATGATAGTATAGCCCTGGATGATGAAGTATAGCCCTGAACGATGAAGTATAGCCCTGAACGATGAAGTATAGCCCTGGATGATGAAGTATAGCCCTGGATGATGAAGTATAGCCCTGGATGATGAAGTATAGCCCTGGATGATGAAGTATAGCCCTGGATGAAGTATAGTCCTGGATGAAGTATAGCCCTGGATGATGAAGTATAGCCCTGGATGATGAAGTATAGCCCTGGATGATGAAGTATAGCCCTGGATGATGAAATATGGCCGTGGATGATGAAGTATAGCCCCGGATGATGAAGTATAGCCCCGGATGAAGTATAGCCCTGGATGATGAAGTATAGCCCTGGATGATGAAGTATAGCCCTGGATGATGAAGTATAGCCCTGGATGATGAAGTATAGCCCTGGATGAAGTATAGTCCTGGATGAAGTATAGCCCTGGATGATGAAGTATAGCCCTGGATGATGAAGTATAGTCCTGGATGATGAAGTATAGTCCTGGATGATGAAGTATGGCCCTGGATGATGAAGTATAGCCCTGGATGATGAAGTATAGCTCTGGATGATGAAGTATAGCCCTGGATGATGAAGTATAGTCCTGGATGATGAAGTATAGTCCTGGATGATGAAGTATGGCCCTGGATGATGAAGTATAGCCCTGGATGATGAGGTATGGCCCTGGATGATGAAGGATAGCCCTGGATGATGAAGGATAGCCCTGGATGATGAAGTATAGTCCTGGATGATGAAGTATAGTCCTGGATGATAAAGTATAGTCCTGGATGATGAAGTATAGCCCTGGATGATGAAGTATAGTCCTGGATGATGAAGTATAGTCCTGGATGATGAAGTATAGTCCTGGATGATGAAGTATAGTCCTGGATGATGAAGTATAGTCCCGGATGATGAAGTATAGCCCTGGAAGATGAAGTATAGCCCTGGATGATGAAGTATAGCCCTGGATGATGAAGTATAGCCCTGGATGATGAAGTATAGCCCTGGATGATGAAGTATAGCCCTGGATGATGAAGTATAGCCCTGGATGATGAAGTATAGCCTGGATGATGAAGTATAGCCCTGGATGATGAAGTATAGCCCTGGATGATGAAGTATAGCCCTGGATGATGAAGTATAGCCCTGGATGATGAAGTATAGCCCTGGATGATGAAGTATAGCCCTGGATGATGAAGTATAGCCCTGGATGATGAAGTATAGCCCTGGATGATGAAGTATAGCCCTGGAAGATAACACATACACGAGTGGGTTTGAGTTGGACCTGATTAGCTTGTGCTACTAGGTCAGTTGCCGTGTTCCTTCCTTAAGTGAATGTGAACTGACTTGACTAGGTTGGCTTAAGCCTGTAGGAGACTTGGACCTGCCTCGCATGGGCCAGTAGACCTGCTGCAGTGTTCCTTGTTCTTATATAGCCCTGAACGATAAAATGTAGCCCTGGATGATAACGTATAGCCCAGGACAATACAGCCCAGCCCTGGACGATCAAGTCCAGCCCGCAGGACGAAGTCCAGCCCTGGACGATAAAGTCCAACCCTGGACGATAAAGTCCAACCCTGGACGATAAAGTCCAGGCTGGTCACATTCTGGCTGCTGGTCACATTCTGACTGCTGGTCACATTCTGGCTGCTGGTCACATCCTGACTGCTGGTCACATTCTGGCTGCTGGTCACATCCTGACTGCTGGTCACATTCTGACTGCTGGTCACATTCTGGCTGCTGGTCACATCCTGACTGCTGGTCACATTCTGGCTGCTGGTCACATCCTGGCTGCTGGTCACATCCTGACTGCTGGTCACATTCTGGCTGCTGGTCACATCCTGGCTGCTGGTCACATCCTGGCTGCTGGTCACATCCTGACTGCTGGTCACATTCTGGCTGCTGGTCACATCCTGACTGCTAGTCACATCCTGGCTGCTGGTCACATCCTGACTGCTAGTCACATCCTGACTGCTGGTCACATTCTGGCTGCTGATCACATCCTGACTGCTGGTCACATTCTGGCTGCTGGTCACATCCTGACTGCTGGTCACATCCTGGCTGTTGGTCACATCCTGACTGCTGGTCACATCCTGGCTGTTGGTCACATTCTGGCTGCTGGTCACATTCTGGCTGCTGGTCACATCCTGGCTGTTGGTCACATCCTGACTGCTGGTCACATTCTGGCTGCTGGTCACATCCTGGCTGCTGGTCACATCTTGACTGCTGGTCACATTCTGACTGCTGGTCACATCCTGGCTGCTGGTCACATCCTGACTGCTGGTCACATTCTGGCTGCTGGTCACATCTTGACTGCTGGTCACATTCTGGCTGCTGGTCACATCCTGGCTGCTGGTCACATCCTGACTGCTGGTCACATCCTGGCTGCTGGTCACATCCTGACTGCTGGTCACATCCTGACTGCTGGTCACATTCTGACTGTTGGTCACATCCTGACTGTTGGTCACATCCTGGCTGCTGGTCACATCCTGACTGCTGGTCACATTCTGGCTGCTGGTCACATCCTGACTGCTGGTCACATTCTGGCTGCTGGTCACATCCTGACTGTTGGTTACCTGGAGAGAGTTCCGGGGGTCAACGCCCCCGCGGCCCGGTCTGTGACCAGGCCTCCTGGTGGATCAGAGCCTGATCAACCAGGCTGTTGCTGCTGGATGCACGCAAACCAACGTACGAGCCACAGCCCGGCTGATCAGGAACTGACTTTAGGTGCTTGTCCAGTGCCAGCTTGAAGACTGCCAGGGGTCTGTTGGTAATCCCCCTTATGTGTGCTGGGAGGCAGTTGAACAGTCTCGGGCCCCTGACACTTATTGTATGGTCTCTTAACGTGCTAGTGACACCCCTGCTTTTCATTGGGGGGATGGTGCATCGTCTGCCAAGTCTTTTGCTTTCGTAGTGAGTGATTTTCGTGTGCAAGTTCGGTACTAGTCCCTCTAGGATTTTCCAGGTGTATATAATCATGTATCTCTCCCGCCTGCGTTCCAGGGAATACAGGTTTAGGAACCTCAAGCGCTCCCAATAATTGAGGTGTTTTATCTCCGTTATGCGCGCCGTGAAAGTTCTCTGTACATTTTCTAGGTCGGCAATTTCACCTGCCTTGAAAGGTGCTGTTAGTGTGCAGCAATATTCCAGCCTAGATAGAACAAGTGACCTGAAGAGTGTCATCATGGGCTTGGCCTCCCTAGTTTTGAAGGTTCTCATTATCCATCCTGTCATTTTTCTAGCAGATGCGATTGATACAATGTTATGGTCCTTGAAGGTGAGATCCTCCGACATGATCACTCCCAGGTCTTTGACGTTGGTGTTTCGCTCTATTTTGTGGCCAGAGTTTGTTTTGTACTCTGATGAAGATTTAATTTCCTCATGTTTACCATATCTGAGTAATTGAAATTTCTCATCGTTGAACTTCATATTGTTTTCTGCAGCCACTGAAAGATTTGGTTGATGTCCGCCTGGAGCCTTGCAGTGTCTGCAATGGAAGACACTGTCATGCAGATTCGGGTGTCATCTGCAAAGGAAGACACGGTGCTGTGGCTGACATCCTTGTCTATGTCAGATATGAGGATGAGGAACAAGATGGGAGCGAGTACTGTGCCTTGTGGAACAGAGCTTTTCACCGTAGCTGCCTCGGACTTTACTCTGTTGACGACTACTCTCTGTGTTCTGTTAGTGAGGAAATTATAGATCCATCGACCGACTTTCCCTGTTATTCCTTTAGCACGCATTTTGTGCGCTATTACGCCATGGTCACACTTGTCGAAGGCTTTTGCAAAGTCTGTATATATTACATCTGGATTCTTTTTGTCCACATCCTGGCCCACGACCGGGTCACCGGAATATAAAAACTCTCTAAACAAGTTATGGGTAATCAGATCGACTCCAGACTGAGGGACTAATTACCTCACACTCACCTTTCACTGTTCTTCTCAGTACTGGACTGAAGAAGTCAATGGCTGGCGAAACGTTTCCTCACTAAAGATTGCCAAATGTTCCACCAGGTGTCTTATTCCTGAACATGTGGGGTTTGTAAGCCATTTATATCTCTGTCTCTGTCTCTCTCTATCTGTTTCTCTGTCTCTCTGTGTCTCACTCTCACACACGCACACACACGCACGCACACACACACACACACACACACACACACACACACACACACACACACACACACACACACACACACACACACACACACACACACACACTGCTTTTATCTCATGTGAAAGAGAGCCAACACCTGGCACTGAGCCTCTGGGTGTTTGGGGGCGGTGTATGGGGGCGGTGTATGGGGGCGGTGTATGGGGGCGGTGTATGGGTGGCCGCTGTGGTGTGTGCGTGCGTGTATGCGCGCGGGAGGAAGCCTTGGTAGTGTTGATTTTATTTTGGTCGTTGGTGGAGGTGAGTGAGTGTTGATCCCTGGCGTGGCACCCTGCCTAGTGCGGCTGCTGCTGGTGGCACCTAGTCTGCTTACTGCTGGTGGTGGCCACGTCGCCTATTTCTTTTCAAATCGCAGGCAATCTCTGAACTCGGGAGGGTGGAGTCCCTGTGTGTATCATGGTGTCTTAGCTGTGGATGCCCCTGTGGTACTCATGGTGTCTTAGCTGTGGGTCCCCGTGTGTACTCTGGTGTTTAGCTGGGGATGCTGTGGATGCCCCTCGTGTGTACTCATGGTGTCTTAGCTGTGGATGTCCCTCGTGTGTACTCATGGTGTCTTAGCTGTGGATGTCCCTCGTGTGTACTCATGGTGTCTTAGCTATGGAGACCCTCGTTGTACTAAAGGGGTGTTTAGCTATGGATGCCCTCGGTGACTAAAGGTGTCTTAGCTAGGATGACCCTCGTGTGTACCGGGTTTTTTAGCTTGGATGCCCCTCGGTGTACTCAAGGTTTTTAGCTTGGTGCCCCGTGTGTACTCAAGGTGCTTAGCTATGAATGCCCCCGTGTTACTCAAGGTGTTTTAGTAGGGAAAGACCCTCGTGTGTACTCAAGGTGTTTTAGCTAAATTTCCCCTCGTGTGTATCAAGGGTCTTAGCAGGGATCCCCTCGTGTGTACTCAAGGTGTTTAGAATGGATGCCCCTCGTGTGTACTCAAGGGTCTTAGCTATGGAGCCCCTCGTGTTACCAAGGTGTCTTAGCTATAATGTCCCTCGTGTGTATCAAGTGTCTTACTATGGATGACCTGTGTGTAAAAGGGTGTCTTAGTAGGATGACCCTCGGTGTACCAAGGTGTCTTAGCTAGGGATGACCCTGTTGTCTCAAGGTGTCTTAGCTAGGATGCCCCTCGTGTGTACTCAAGGTTCTTACTATGGTGCCCCCTGTGTGTATAAAGGGTGTCTTAGCTATGGATGACCCTCGTGTGTACTCAAGGTGTCTTAGCTATGAATGTCCCTCGTGTGTACTCAAGGTGTCTTAGCTATGGATGACCCTCGTGTGTACTCAAGGTGTCTTAGCTATGGATGACCCTCGTGTGTACTCAAGGTGTCTTAGCTATGGATGACCCTCGTGTGTACTCAAGGTGTCTTAGCTATGGATGTCCCTCGTGTGCCCAAAAAGGTTTCTTTTAATGCCCCGGTGTACTCAAGGTGTTTTAGCTAGGGTTTTGACCTCGTGGTAATAAAGGTGTTTTGTTGGATGACCCTCGTGTGTACTCGGTTCTTAGTAGGGATGCCCCCTCGTTGTCCCCAAAGGTGTTTTAGCTATGAATGTCCCTCGTTGTACCAAGGTGTCTTAGTGGGGGCCCCTCGGTGTATCAAGGTGTCTTAGCTAGGATGCCCCTGTGGTACTAAAGGGTGTCTTCTATGGATGACCCTCGTGTGTACTCAAGGTGTCTTAGCTAGGATGCCCCTCGTGTGTACTCAAGGTGTTTGGGTTTTGAGGAAGTAGGTCTGTGAGGTGCGTGTTGAGGAAGTAGGTCGTGAGAGTGCGTGTTTGAGGAAGTCAGGTCTGTGAGGTGCGTTTTGGGAAAGTAGGTTTGGGGAAGTGGTGTTGAGGAAGTCAGGTCTTGAGAGTGCTTTTGGAAGGGGGTCTTAGAGTGCGTGTTGAGAAAGTGGGGTTTCTGTGAGAGTGCGTGTTGGGGAAAGTCAGGCTGTGAGAGTGGTGTTGAGAAAGTGGTCTGTGAGAGTGCGTGTTGAAAAAGTCAGGTCTTGAGAGTGCGTTTTGGAAAGCATCTGTGAGAGTGCTTTGAGAAAGTCGGGTCTGGGAGTGCGTGTTGAGAAAGTCGGGGTCTGTGAGGTGCGTGTTAAAAAGTCAGGTCTGTGGAGTGGTGTTAAAAAAGTGGTTGTGAGAGTGCGTGTTGAAAAAGTAGGTCTGTGAGAGTGCGTGTTAAAAAAGTGGGTCTGTGAGGTGGGTTGAGGAAAGTCAAGTCGGGGAAGTGGTGTTGAGAAAGCGGTTGTGGAGGCGTGTTAGAAGTCAGGTCTGTGAGAGTGCGTTTTAAAAAAAGTCAGGTCGTGAGAGTGCGTTTTGGAAAGTCAGGTCTGGAGAGTGGTGTTGAAAAAAGTCGGGTTGTGAGAGTGCGTTTGAGAAAGTCGGTTGTGAGAGGGTTTTGAGGAAGTCAAGTCTGTGAGATGCGTGTTGAAAAAGTCGGTTGTGAGATGGGGTGTTGGGAAAAGTCGGTCTGTGAGAGGCGTGTTGAGAAAGTCAGGTCGGAGAGTGCGTTTTGAAAAAGTCAGGTCTGTGAGAGGCGTGTTGGGGAAAAGTAAGTCTGTGGAGTGCGTGTGAAAAAGGTCTGTAGAGTGCGGTTGAAAAAGTCAGGTCTGTGGAGTGCTGTTGAGAAAGTCAGGTCTGGAGAGTGCGTGTTGAGAAATCAGGTCTCTGAGAGTGCGTGCTGGGAAGTCCGGCGTGAGAGTGCGTGCCGGGGAAAGTTCGGCTGTGAGAGTGCGTGCGGGAAGTTCGGTCTTAAGTGCGTGTGAGGAAGTTGGGTCTGGAGGTGCTTTTTGGGGAAGTTGGTTGTGGAGTGTGTGTTGGGGAAAAGTTGGTTGTGAGGGTGCGTGTTGAGGAAGTTCGGTTGGAGAGTGCGTTTGAGGAAGTTCGTTGTGGGGAGTGGTGCTGAGGAAGTTAGGTTTGAGAGTGGTTTTGGGGAATTCGGTCTGTGAGAGTGGGCCGGGAAGTTCGGTCTGCGAGAGTGCCCCCAAGGGTCCACCCTCAGACACGGCTTATGTGTCCTAGTTCGGTGTTTATATGTAGGTATTCTCAAATGTGCGTGTATGGGAGTAATACTGCTGATCCAGCCTCTAAAACTGGCTTATGTTCCTCGTTCGTGTTTTTTTCTTAAATATTGTAAAATTGTGTGTATGTACGGAAAACACAATGATTACGCCCTGGAAAAAGGCTAATGTACTCTCTGAGGCCTTAAGTGGTGTGTGAAATAGTTAGTGTTGGGTTGATTAGCCCCCTAACACCTGAACACTCCCCACCTGACACACTCCAACCCGAACACCCCACCCGACACACTCCACACCTGACACACTAAAAACCTGACACACTCCCCAACCTGACACTCAAACCGACACACTCCCACCTGACCAAATCAAACTGCACACTCAACGCCTGACACACTCCCCCAACCCGACACACTCCACACCCGACCACTCAACACCGACCACTCAACACCTGACACACCCAAACCTACACACTCAACACCTAACCCCCTCAACACCCGAACACTAAAACCGACACACTCCACACCTGAACCCCTCAACACCCGACACCTCCCCAACCCGACACACTCAAACCTGACCCCTCCACCTACACCTCAACACCCGACACCTCCACACCTGCACATCCCCACCGACACACTCAACACCGAACCACTCCCCCCACCTGACACATCCACACCTGACACCCTCCACATGAACATCAACACCTGACACACTCCACACCTGACCACTCAACACCCGACACATCAACCTGCACCTCAACACCTGAACTCAACACCTGACACATTTAACACTGACACACCAAAAACCTGACACATCAAATGACACACTCAAAAAAACCCGACAACTAAAAACCTGACACACTCCCCAACCCGACACATCCCCACCTGACACACTAACATGCACACTCCAACCTGCACACTCAACACCTGACACACTCAACACCCGACAATCAACACCTGACACATCAACACCTGACACACTCCAAAAACCCGAAAACTCAACACCGACACACTCCCACCTGACACACCCACACTGACCACTAACACCTGACACACTTTTAAAACCCGACACACTCAAACCCCGACACCTCAACCCTGAACACTACACCCTACACCTCCCACCCTGACACACTCAACACCTAACCTCCAACCCCGACACACTCAAAACCGACCCTCAACAGACCACTCAACACCGACACACTCAACACCTACACACAACACCTGACACACTAACACCCGAAAACCCCAACACCTGACACACTCAAAACCGGAACCTCAACACTGAACACTCCCCACCTGACACACTCAACACCTGACACACTCAACACCTGACACACTCAACACCTGACACACTCAACACCTGACACACTCCACACCTGACACACTCAAAACCTGACCCTCAACACTGACCACTAAACCGACACACTCCACACCTGACACCTCCACAAAATCACACTCAACCCTACACACTCCACCCGACACACTCAACACGCACATCCCCACCTGCCACTCAACCTGCACACTAACACCCGACACACTCCCACCTGACACACTCCAACCTGACACACTCAAACCGACACACTCCCCACCCCGACACACTCAAACCTGAACACTCAACACCTGACACACTCCACACCCGACACACTCAAACCTACACCTCAAAACCACAAAAACCCGACACACTCCACACCTGCACATAACAAATGACACACTCCACACCTGACACACTCAAAACCGAACATCCCCCATGAACCCCTCAACACCTGACACACTAACACCTGACCACTCCACCCCCCCCCCCAAAACCCAAACCTGACCAACCCAAACCTGACACACTCCCAAACCCGACACAAACTCCACAACCCTGACACACTAACACCTGACACATCCACCTGACCCTCCACACCCACACCCCCCCCTACCCCAAAATCAACACCCCACACTCAAAACCTGACCACTCAACACCTGACACCCAAAAAACCTGACACCTCCCCAACCCGACACACTCCACATGACACTCCCCCACCGAAAACCCCTCCACACCTGACACACTCAACACCTGACACACTCCCCAACCCGACACCTCCACACGACACATCAACACCGACAAAACCCCCAAACCCGACACCCTCCCCACTGACCACTCAAACCTGACACATCAACCCTGACACATCAACACCTGACACACTCCACACCTGCACACTCCACACCCGACACATCCCCACCCGAACACCCACACCTGACACACTCCACACCTGAACATCCCACCCGACAAATCCACCTGACCACTCCCACCTGACCACTCCACACCTGCACATCCAATGCACACTCCACACCCGCACCTCAACACCTGACACACACATCTGACCCATATTGAAAATATTTTTTGTGTTCTTTTTTTAGCGTTTCTCACGTTTTGTAGATGGGGTAACGCCCCCCAGGGGGAAAGGGCCGCTGAGGCCCCCCAAAGGGCCCCCGGGAGCCCAAGGGCCTTTCCTTATAAGGAAAAACTTTTTAATATTAAAAAGTGAACTAACTTGTGTATAATTAGTATGTGTAAATCTTCAAGAGGAAAAAA